CTTCCAAGTAGACACTAACTTTCTGCCACCACCAGATCTGCCATGGACCCTGGCTCCTGTGACAGATGTTTCTGACCCAGAACTTTTCCAATGAATGCTTGCCATGCTGTAAGGTAGGGAATGAGAATCAGGGAAAGGAAGAAATAATAGATTTGGTGATGCTTGCCATTATAGCTGAAAAACAGAAATCTCAGTGGCTTAGCACAGTAGAAGTTTCTTTCATGCTCATGAAATCTGCTTTGCAGAGGTTGGGGGGACTATGCTCTGTGTATGCAGTCACACAGGAAGCCAAGCTGGCAGATTGGATGTGAAGGTCACACTGGCTATCCGCACCAAGGCTTCAGATGGAAAAGAGATTCAGTAGGATTGCACTTGGGAAGGTTTTTTATGGACCAGAGATAAAGTGACACACATTTCTTCTCCCTGTATTCCATTGGCTAGATATTAGTCACAAGGGCACATATGGTAGCAAAGGGAGCTGGGAAATGCAGAGGAGCAGATGAAGGGAATGTGATGGCCATAAACAGCTGTTCACTTTGCCACAAAAAGGACTCTTTCTTAACATTGAGCTGTCATTCTTCCTTTTATTTTGTTCCTTTATATTTTTCTGTTTGGGAATAGAGCTATTTTCCTTTAGATCTTATTTTCCCCTAGATAGTCTTCCAGAAATTATGCTGCCCACTCAGTCCACCTTGCGTTTTTCTAGGTGAGCCACGGTGATGATGCCATGAGTAAGGAATTCTGATATGCATAGCCACCTCCAGGGAACATCGTCATCACAGCCAGTCATCTGCTAAGGGCTCTTTTAAATCAGAGGCTCCAGACCTCAAAGAGAAGCCTACGGTGAACATATAGGTCAGGGCTGCCCAGGCACTTGTTGAAAGTCTGGAGCAATAGGAGGGGATAGAGCTGCTCCCAGGATCCAGTGCGAGTGAGCTCAGAAGGCAATGCCTTCTGGGTGATGGAGAAAGCATGCTATCCACAACATTCCTGCTCTGCATGGCTCAGCCCTGGGGATATAATACACCTCCCTTAACAGAGAGCCATAATCTCCACCATAATAGTCCCTCCTTTGTGCTGAGATATGTGCTGTTCCCAAAGCCCCTCACAGATACTGTGGTACTGACTTCTCTGAACAACATGAGATGGACATTATGTTGATTCTGTGCTCCGCATCCCTGCCAGCAACCCCCTGCTTTAGGCTTTTGTGATTCTTAGTGCACTGTTAAAACAGCCTCTAATGGGGCTCTCTGTTCCAATTTGCCTCTCCACCCCCAATCCATTCTTTACACTGCACAGGAGGAATTTCTCACAAAGGAAGCCACCCCTTCCTTCCACTCCAAATGCCCTTCAAAGGCACCCTGAACTGGGGATAAAATCTATATCATTAGCACTGCTCATGGTCCTATGTGACACAGCTCCCGGTGACCTCTCCACTTCTTTCCACTGGCTGTGCTGAGCTCTGCTCCTGCAATACTGAATCTCTATCCAGAACCCTATGTGACCTTTTACCTTTCTATCTTGATTTGGCTGTCCTCTGTCTACTTCCCCTCCCTTTGTTTTGCTAAGTCCTCCTTAACCCTTAAGGGGGACTCAATCTGACTTCTCTATTTGGAGACATGTGGCCCAGTCACCTCCTCACTTCAACTAACAGCCAGCACCAAATTTCAGGCAGAATGAATCATCAAGCAGGTGAGAAAAACCATCCTAGATCAAACAGGTCCTGGCAACCCATCAGCTAACTGAACCCAGGCAAGACTAGTAGACTACCCAGTTTAGCTTAGATCTGTTTAATGACTCAAGGAACTGTGAGAAGTGATTGATGTTTAGGCTAATATATTTGGAGATTATTTGTTATGTAGCAAAAACTAACACAAAAAGAGACTCTGAGAGTGGAGTACTGCCATAGCAAAAACCTGAAACATGTGGCCTTGACTATGGAATTGGGTAGAGGCTACAAAATCAGTAATCAAAGGCTGGAAAGACAAAGAACTGTCAGTGGATTCATGGATGTAGAGTTGTAAATTCTAACATACAGTGCAAAGGCTTAAGGACATATCATTCATTTTCAATGCTTTCTCACACTTGGCAACAGAGTTATGGTCCTTAGGAAGAACAGATAAACCAGAGGAGCAGCAAGATGTGATTTTTGTTCTAGACCTAAGGAAGGGCCAACACTCTCTAAAAGCAGGAGAAAGTCTCAGAATTGGAAAAAGCAGAGTTTGGGGGTCAGAAAAAAGGCTCGTATTTAACCATAGATTTGCTACTTCCCAGCTGTGGAAGCAGCTGGGGAACCCTGTCTCAGAAGCATGAAGATGAGCCTTGGTTTGTTGGCTTATTGTTCAGATCAAACAGGATGATGAATGGGAAGACTGTTAAATTGCTAAAGCCTGGCAATGAAAAAACAAGTGTTACACCTGAAGCCTGGAGCTGCCATACCCTGGTATGACCTCAGGTGAGCAGCACCTGGAACCACAAGGAGGCGCCATGAGGTTAAAATTCCAGGAGACCTTTTGAAGCCTGGAACCAAAGAGCCCCAGGGAGTCAACTGGGAAAGCCTTCTTGTGCAAGTGACATTAGTATAAAATGAGTCATGTTTAGCCAAGCTGCACATATTAAGTACACAACATGCACAAAAATCTTCAAGTGAGAGCACGTGATTCATTCATATAATAGTCCTCCCTAAGATTTGCAAGCTTCTGCTTGGGTACCTCATGCTGAAGAGGTCCAAAGGCAACCTTACGGCATAAGGATCTAGCTGCTCTTAAATGCAGGCAGATATGGGGAGGACAGGGATATTTCTTGGAGCTCAAATTTCTGCTTATTTATAAATGATTAACTTTAACACAATCAATTGTGTCAAAGTCCGGGTCAACTGCATCCTTGGGGACAATGGTGAGAGAGTGCCTTGTGCTTGAGTTAATGATAACAACAGCACACACCATGGTCCAACAGCAGAGCTTGTGTGCTGTGTGTGGACACAATGAATGTGAAGGAACTGTCGTCCTTTGTAATTTTCTCTCCATCCCTGATACTCTTCATTTTTGCATGTCTAACTCTAGCCCAACTACTTTGGCAGACATGGTGGGATAGACAGGAAAAGAGTAGGCTTAGTATGTAAGAGTACTCAAATTGATGTCAGGGAAGAAGTTAAGGGCTTCATATTTTATACATTCAAACTTCAAGGCAACTTTATGAAGTGGGTATTAATTAATTGTTACCCCATTTTATAGGTAAGAAAGTAGAGTCTCAGAGAAATTATGTAACTTGCTAAAGGTAATAAAAATCCTGTCCCTAGCACACCTTCACAAATTACATGTCACCTTTCCCCTCCAAGGTTCCTCACATATGCCCAAAATTTCAGTAGCAACAGGCCCATTGTCCACCATGTTGATGCCGTCCTTTATGGGCTGAAGATAGATTTTATAACTGCAGTTTTCCAGGGTCATTTATACTTTAATTTGTTGATTCAGGAGAGTGAGGAAGGTACTTTTGAGAGCTTCAGTCATTTGCATTTGCCATTGAGTTTGCTTAGTACTTATAGTCCTGTACTCCTGGACACGGGCAGGTGTCACTGTCCCCTAGTTGGAATCAGGGCTAAACCTCTATGTACAAGTGGACTGAAATGTGAAAATACCAACCCTACCTGGTCACAGGTAACCTGGAAAGCATTTCTAGAGATTTTGAGGAAAACACGCACGTGGATTATGCTATCTCTAGGGTGCCTTAGTAGGATCTTTTCCTTTAAGTCAGTTTAATGGGGAAAGTGAACCTGTGAACTTTCCAGAACAATAGAAAGATGAGGCTAGAAGCACTCATCCAGGCTCAAATAACATAGGCCTGACTCTTGAGATATGACTGACACCTGCCTTAGCTGTACTCAGCCTCAGAGGAAGGACAGACATTACTTAGACCTGAAATGTGGGTAAGGTGATAGGAAAAGGATGGAGATGTTTATTGAGTCCCTCTCAGGTGTGACTATCTCCTGCGGCTCTGATGGTCCCTAGCAAATATTAGAGATGAGTGATAAATCTACCTCTACCTATCATCTGCTCTATTACCCTTTCCAATGAGGTCAGGGAAACCACTGACTTCCCCCTAAGCATAGTGAAAAGCTCCATGAGTTATACCATCCCCACCCCCACCACACATATTTGGATAATTATTCCCTTATACTTACCTAACATCCTCACATCTAGTATTTCAGCTTATTCTCCCAACTCAGAGTGATAGGTAGGCATGGCCCTCCCAATTTTAATATGAGGACACAGAATCAGAGAAGTCATTAGATACATCAGCTGCCTCATTTAGATTTTTTTCATATTCACCATAGTTTTGTGAGGGTACAATTATTATCCCTGTTTCATAGATGAAGAAACTTAGGCCCAGAGAGGACTAATAATTTCTCCCAGGTCACATAACTGGTGAATTATTTAGAAAGAATGTGAATTCAGGTAGATGGGCACTGGAACCCTCTTCAAAATCACATAGCTAGAAAGAGGTAAAACAGGGATGCAATCCTGGTCTATCTAATTCCAAATCCTGCACTCTACTTAGTAACAACAGTCATACGTCCAAGGGCCTAACATGGCCTGTGCTCCGTAACTGACTTAAATCTCACCATTCTGCAAGTGAGGAAACCAAAGCACAGTAAAGTAACTCACGTGTGTTCTAGTAAGTGGCAGAGAAATAGTTGATCCCAGACCACCTGAACCTCGAGCCACAGTGTTTATTACCTCACTAGCAGTCATTCTGTCTATTGCTTACCCAGATAGCATTACAAAGGAATATAAGCCACATCACCACAGAGTTTTCATCATTCTTGCTGGTTTGCAGCATCACAGGTAACTTTCTCTGTGCAAAGTCTACAGAAGTTGCAGGCACTGGTGCCTTCTGTTTGCTTTGCTGAGCTGTTTGCTCTGCTCTGTGGGGGCAGAAGCTGACAGTTGCACTTGCTGTTCAGGCTTTTCTTGGATCTGGAAGCCTTAGCTGAGCTCCAGTCACACAGACAACATGAACACAGGGGCATGGACTTGGAGGGCACTGGTAAAGGCGTTTCTTCTCTGTGCTGCTCTGGGTTGTCTTAGTTTGCCTGGCTCCAGGTAAGTGACGGGTACAAAGGATTCCCTTATGGATCATATGACAGGAAACATAAAGCCACAGAATGCTGACAGAGTCTTTGTTGCATGCCTGTGGAATGAGGAACCTCTTTTGAAGCAATTTGTATACATCTGGTAATATAATACCAACAACTCCCTTTTAATTGTCATGGAACCAAATGGCTGACGTTAACAAAAGTGCCTGTGAGAAACTGACATGTTTAAGTGCATTTTGTCATGTCAAGAAGAATAGGATACTTGTTCTGTATTCTGAACAAAGCCTCGGTCTGACTCCCTGCAAAAGAAGGTTTGTTATACGTGAAAAAGAGCCAATTCGTGTGAATGATTTGAATATATGAGTGACTCACTCTACCTGCTTAGCAGCCCCTAAGTCAATCTCTTCCCTTTCTCCTTTCCTTCTTCCTCCCTCCCTTCCTTCCTTCCTTCCTTCCTTCTCTCTCTCTCTCTCTCTCTCTCTCTCTCTCTCTCTCTCTCTCACACACACACACACACACACACACTGATGCTTGTTCCCAACAGTTAAATTACTCATTTAATCAGTTTAAGTTTCCATCAGTAGGTTGTAAAACAAGCTAAAGAAAATATTCTAGTTGGGGCTCAGTCTTGGACTCTAGTGAAAGACCTGCCAGTGATCTGGCCATTTGGGGACACTGCCAGTGCATGAGAAACTCCACCAGGAAATGCTAAAACACTTAGGCAGCCCACACTTGCTGTGAGTACTCCTATGGGAAGAGACTCCAAAAATGCTACCTGAGCAAAACTTCTTATTTAGTGAGCAGCAGTACCATCCACCTATTTAGACCCACCCTCTGGGTTGCACTCTTCTGACTACTCAGTCCCAATGAGGCAGCTCCCCTGAGACCACTCACTGAATGCTCAAATCAATACTATTAGGATTACCAAGACTCTCAACCTGGTCCAGAGATGAACTGTGTGGTCAGGGCCTTCCTTGTGTGTCCTACATATGCCCAGGAAAGCGTGCAAGATGCAAGGAATTATGTCTGGATGGAGGGCTTCATAGAGCCATCACTCCTTCCCCCCAGCACTGTGTCCCTGTACACAGAACCTTGTTGGGCTCTGGGGATGCAGAAATGAACAAGACACAAGAAGCCCAGGTTCTCAGAGAGAATGCCAACCTGTGAGCACATACCACCTGGACTGCTGCAAGGGAAAGTACAGGGGCAAACAGGAACCATGGCAGGGAGTGGCAACTCTCCTTGGCATGGGATCTGGAACGGGGATGAAGCATGGGTCAGGTCGGGGGAAAGCATAGCAAAGGCTAGAGAGAGCCTGGTTTGTCCTGGAGGCATTTCAATCACCTTGGGAATAGGACAAGGTGGGAACTACAGGGCTGAGGCAGAGTAGGACTAAGCAGCTAAGGGACTTGAGCCATATCTTCTAGGCAATGGGGAACCATTGAAGGTTTGAAGTGAAGGAGCAACACAGCAGGATTTATGTATTAAGAAATACCCTTTGAGGGAGTTAATGGAGGTTCTGGGAGGTGGGTAAAGCACAGGCTGGGAAACTTCACGGCTATATCATGAAGGTTGTGAGCTCTTATTCTCACTATGTGGAAGAACAAACTGATCCTCTGAAAGGAGAAGAAAGCCACTCCTGTCTAGTTAGTCTCCAACCTTCACCTGAATCCATATTTAATGTTCTGATCCCCATCATTGACTCTGACACACCTGTCCTGAACATGACCTACAGTTGAATTTCAGACATGAAACAGAAGAAAAGAGTTCAATTCTGGAGCAGAAAATGCCTAAACCTTCAATATTCACTGAAAGCTTTCTGTTTTCATTTACTTTTGCAATCAAGTCACCGTGTCATAAGACCTATTGATTATTATCAATTGCCACTCTGTGCCAGGCACTTGCACATAGTAGCTCTCATTCTCACATCTATTCATGGTAGATGCTATTGTTTACAGTTTTACAAAGAAGGAAACTGAGGCTCTGAGAGATAATGTAATGTCCCAAGGCTTCTCACTTATTACATAGTAGACTATAGATTCAAATTCAGCTTTTTGTGGGGGTGAGGTTTCACACGACCTATATTCTCTCTGTATCTTTCTGGCCCTCACTAAGGTGCTGTCCACTCTACATGTGCAAGACAGATCTGACTTGCTGAATTCCCCTGTTTCTCTGTCTCTGGCCCCCATGTTTGCTGCCATGAGATGTTTTAAATTTCATGTCTACAACAGCAAATGACAGAGAGAACAGAAATTGAAAACCTGCCACACAGAAGCTGCCCTTTCCAGCAAAGAGGAAGATGCTGCTTGTAAAGGGATGCAGCTGCCTAACAAATTGTGTGTGACAAGAAAGTTGTTGCGTCAGGGCATTTCTACAGAAAGCCAAACTACATTGGCTTTCTATATAAGCTGATGGCTTGAAATTTACTGCTGACCTAACCCTGCTGTACTCAATGGATCCATCTTTATTTTGATTAGAGATGCCTGTTAGAAAGAGAGTAAGGCACTAAAATATGTCACAATGCTGGCAATGACATTCCATGCACCCCAAGTGAAGGTGCAACCTTCTCAGCCCTAATATAGAGGGAGCATGTATGTGTTCAAAGACTTGGACAAGGAGGTCTATTGTGGCATTACTTGCAATTGCAAAACATTTGAGAAAATATAAGTGTTCTTCAAAAAGAAAAAGAATCAATTAAATGCAACATATGTCCTAGGATAGAACATCCAGATAAAAGAATGAACTAGGTCCCATTATGATTCAACGTGGATAGAACTCAGAAATGCAACAGTGATTGGAAGAAGCAAGTTGAAAGCAATATGCATAATATGAGCAAAGCACACAAAAGCAATATAATACACAGTGTATATGTATGTGTGTGTGCGTTTCATATATACATATGAAAATATTTAAAAGAGACAGGAAGGATACACACCAAATTCATGGCAGTTGTCTTCTCTGAAGAGAAGGGGAGAGAAATAGTACATGGAGGTAGTGTAGAACACAGATGTTCAATTTATAGGGATTTTTTAAATTAAAAAATACTTAAAGCAAATATGCCAAAAGGTTAATAATTGTCAATGTGGGTGTGAGAACATGGGTGTTTTATTATTTTACTTGTGGTACTTCTCTAGACATATTTAATTTTTCAAAGTGCAAGGCATACAGAAGATTTTGAATGACAGAAGTCAAGCAACTTGATCAAAATGTCATTTGGGTTTGTTTCTATAGCAATTCATAGGGGTGAACACTACATGTAACCATACAAAGAGACCCCAGTTGGTCCCAAGCTTTATGTAACTCCATGCAATTCTCAGGAATTAAAGATGAGACTTAAATCTGGCCTTCTTTTAGGTTTGCATTTTGTAGCACTAATAAGCCACATGTATCTTATCCACTGTAATTTACAAACATACTATTTATCCAGCTGATTACTTCATTATATTGCAACCTCCATAATGGAAATTGGGTGCAAAAATGAGAAATCTGGTGGTTATAACTACTTCTTACCAAGTTCCTTCTGTAAGTGATCATCTTGCCCATTAACAGGCTTTCAAATCTCAAAGAAGAAAATAATTGTGACTTAATAGCTAGTGTATACATTACTAATCCACTCAGCCTCCACTGTGGCCCCAATTCCATTGATAGTTGCAAAAAAAACACAGTGTAACTGCTTTATAGTTGAAATAGAAAGAGGGTACCCTGCAGAGCTGTCAAATACATACTTAGGAAAAGCCAAATCACAGACAGTATTGTTTTGTCAAACCTGGGCAAATTAGTAGATAGGAGCCTATTCTGAGGCCTCCTGCTGGTATGCATCGTCCTGCCTCAAGTAACCATTTTCAAGTATCCACCTGTGGTTTCCACTAGAGTCTTTGACCTTTTCTTAAAGATCCAACTTCACTAGGCAATTGATTTTTGTTGGTCTCTGGGGCGGTCGTGGAGATGGATTTCACTGTAGTTAATATTATCCTCTTTTTAGGGCTTTTGCCAAGTGAGAACGTGTTGTTAATGACCTTGTTTGGGGTGACATCCTGTGTATTTAACTGTGAAAACTGTGATGCTCTTCCCTAATGACTCAATCTTGGATACAGAAATGAAAGAAGCCTCACAGAGAGATTGGGGATCACTGAAGGAGGAGCTGGTCCAGTTCCCTTCCAGACAGCATGGGACAACAGACAAAGTACAGGCTCTAGTGTCAAACAGATCTCAGCTCAGACCCTGATGCCACTGCATACCAGAGTATAATGTACTCAGGTAGAACAAAAAAAAAATCATAAGACACCCATCATATTATAGCTAGGGAAACTGGAGGCTTAGGCAGATTGAATAACATGCTCATTCATTCAGTTGTGTCTCATTGTGTTCCAGGCTCTCAACAAGATCATTGCTTTACCTTCTAGTCTTAGGTTTCTTGGCTGCTCTGCAGATGTGACTTGTCTGCGATCTGCCCTCTACCACTCTAGGCCCCACCCCACCCTCACTCTCCTCCACAGACTTTCTGGGCCCTAGACTGGCATGGAATTGTCTCTCAGGTCTGTTGTGATACCCAAGTTCCCCAAGGACTTTTCCTTGGCCTGCTTCTCCTCTCAAGAGCAGTCTCTCCTTTCCATAGCTTTTCATGATCAGATCTGTATCTCCAGCACAGATCTCTTTCCTGGATTCCAAAACCATGTAGGAACTACACACCCAATGAGTCTATGCAGAAGTTTTATAGCCAACTAGAATTCAGCAGGTCTCAACTATCTTTCCTAACACAACTTCTTTTCTCTTGTGTCTCCACTCATCTGTGAATTTAAACTGGATACTAGCATCAATCTAAACTCTTTCCTCCCTCCAACACCCCTCCACTCCTTCCATGTACCCATCACTTTCTATACATTCCACCTGAGAACCATCATCCCCATTCCCTCTCCCCTGGCCTCTGCTGCAGTTCAGTCACTGGCACTCTGGCACCTGCTACCCTGCTGCCAGGATCTCCTGATTCCCACATAGCCTACGCATGTCCTCAAGCACAGCTCTGGCTATGGGACCTGCATGCTTCAAAATCTTGCCTACAATGTAAAGTCTCATAGAGCTAAGATGGGCAACATCTTTCTCTTTCCCTACTTTAAAACAAAACTGAGTTCTATAAGGCAGAACCTGTCTTTCTCTGTAACCCTTCTTCCACAATATCCTCAATATTACTTGTTTTCAGCAAATGTTTCACAGACTCTTAACATTAAAAGGCATCTTAAAGCCCATCTAGCTCAAACAGCTCATTCTCCAGGGGATAAAACAGAAGCCCTGAGATGGGGAGTGAGTTGCTCAGGATTGTACATCTAGCTGTGGCTGTATTCCTTACATATCTATAGCACTTTAGAGTTTGTCAAGTGCCTTCCCACAGACTAATATTTTTAATCCCAGAAATAACCTTATGAGGTAGGTATGATTAACTGGTTATGTTGAAGAAATGGAGTTTTAAAATCAGAGATCACCCAGCTGCTTATGGGGTATCTTCTGATCCAAGTTTGATGCTCTTTTGACAACAGTAGTTACAACGTCAAGCACTTAACTGGTGTTAAATAAATATTTGTTGGATGAATTAACCTTTACTGGAATACTAAACTAATAGCCTTGCACGAATAAGCAGATATATATTTATTGGGTGGATGATGTGTGGTTGGTTGGAGGTATATGCAATCTTCTGATACTCTACTGTCTTCTCTTATGAGGGTTTCTCAGAAGTGAGAGGCTGCATTCACTTGAGTTAAATGCAGTCAACAGGAGCCTTGCTAAGAGCAGACAAGTACGGAGTGTGGCTGTTACCCCAGTGCCTATTGACTGTGAGCTGTCCAGCTGGTCCTCCTGGACTACATGTGACCCCTGTCAGAAGAAAAGGGTAAGAACCCAGGGTCGGGTGAGTGCTGAGCTTCCAGGATCTTCCTGGTCTTAGCCAGTCTGGCTGAGACATTGTTAGTGGGAACTGGTACACATAGGCACTCAAAGATGTTGGCTGATTTAATTAATGAGCCTTCTTCCTCCATGCTTTCAAGTAGCAATCAAATCCCCCTTCGGTTTTTTGGTGTTTTCCAAACACATCTGTGTTTGCAGTTTCCCAATTGGATTTCCTGCCTCCAACCTGCTCTTTCAATCTATCTTTCCTGGTGCAGCCAACATAGCTATCACAAAGCCACATCTGACTGTTTTTTTCTGAGCTTGAAACTATTCAAAGCCGACCCATGGCCCTGAGGATCAAGGCTAGACTTGTGGTCACACCTAATTTGGCCTGCATCTCCACAAAATATTCCCCTCCAATCCACCAAGCCCTTGCATTCTTCCAGCCATGGCTTACTTTGCCCTTGTTCATGTTGCTTTCTCAGGCAGTAATGACCATTCCTATGGCCGCCCTTCACTGGTTAACAGTGACTACTAATTTGAAATTCTGCACAGGGCCACCTCTTTTGAAAAGCCTTCCCTGACTGTTCCTCTGTCCCACTTTCAGTTAGATAAAGCAACTTTTAACAAGCTCTGAACTCATTCTATGTCTCCCAGGAAAAGAGGGTGGATGTTACACTCTTTGTTAGAAAGATAAACAGAGACTTAGAGTAGAGAAGTGACTTCTTAGAGATCTCCTAGTAGCAAGTACAAGCCTTGAACTCAGACCACTGTCTGAGTTCTACATTTCTATCAATAAAACCATAGTCTCCACAGTATTTGTCCTTCAACCTTCCTTGTAATGGAGGACTGACCCAGATCCCAGCTCTGAGTACAGCAAACATGTCAGAGAGGAAAGAATTGTTGCTGCTTCCCCAGACCTCAGAAAACCAAGTCTGTCTTGTCTAGAACTCTAAAGAGGCTGTGGATAGAGGCCCAGGACAATTACACAGTTAATTGGATCAATGGGAGAGCCAAGAAAGATCATTCTGTTCCCAGTAGGTTTTCTTGCTGAAGCTATCAACATTGATCCAATTATCTGGATAATTGCTTCACCTGCACTGTAAACCAAGAAGCCTCAGCGTGAGCCAGTCATCCAGAGCTCCTTGGAGCTTGCTGTGGACTTCCTTCACCGGACAGTCCTTGTCTACAGGGTCATGGCTAATGGTTTAGCAAAAGCCTCTTAACCCAGAGGAGTTGGAGTTGGAGTTGTATTTCCTTCACCATTGCCACATCCCTTGAACCCACTTTGCCTTGGGAACCTGGAGCTAGTCTTCTGGCAGTCTTCTCTTATGTATGTGGCTTTGTTTTTATTCTTTAATAATATATAATGATCAAATCAGAGTGATTATCATTTTCAGTCCTTCAAATGTGACCATTTCTGTGTTGATGTGTTGACTCTCTTCTCCCCTGGTTATTTTGAACTGTATAATTAATTATCATAGACTCTAGTTACCCTGTTGTGCTACAGAATAGTAGAACCATTTCCCCCCAGATAACAGTGCTTTGGTATACATTTTCTACCCTCTTTCTATCCCTTTTCCCTTGCTAACCTCTAAAGACCTTTGTTCTACTTTCTGCTTCTACGTGAACAAACTTTTTAACTTCTGCAGTGAATGAGAATCTGATACTTACCTTTCTGTGCCCAGCTTATTTCATTTAACATACTGTTCTTGAGTCTCATCCATGTTGCCACCAAGGACAAGATTTTATCCATTTTATAGCTGAATAATATTCCATTGTAATTTATATCATATTTTAATCCATTCATCTTTCACAAACATCTTGGCAATGGTGAATGGTGCTGCAATCAACATGGGGTTGTAGTTATCTCCCTATTTGATATAATGTTTACATTTCCTTTGGATGTTTACCCAATGCTGGGATTGCTAGAACATATGATAACTCTATTTTCAGCTTTTTGAGGAGTTCTACAATGGCTATATTAATTTACATTGCCATTAAACAGTGTGTAAGAGTTTCTCTGCATTCTTGCCATTCGTATATAATCATTTGAGAAATATCTATACAGCTCCTTTACCCATTTTTAAACAGATTAAAAATGGGGGTTGAGTGGAGTTCCTCACATATTCTGGATAGTAACCCCTTGTCAGACAAATAACTTGCAAATATTTCTTCCCATTCTTTAGCTTGTCTTTTAACACTGTTGTTTGTTGTGCAGAATACTCTTAGTTAGATACAATCCCATTTGTCTAGTTTTTCTTCTGTTGCTTATACTATTGAGGTCTCATTCAAAAGAGAAAAGGAAAGAAAAATCTGTCTGTACCAATGTATTAAAGTGTTTCCTCTGTGTTTTGTTCTAGTAATGTCATAGTTTGGGATTTTTCATTTAAATTCTTGTTCCATTTTGAGTTTAATTTTTACATAGGGGAGCGGCATTTAACTTCATTCTTCTGCATATATACAGTTTTCCCTGCATACACATGTATGCACTAGCATTTCTAGAGTGTGTGTTCTTTGTTGAAAATTGGTTGGCTATAAGTATGCAGATTCATTTCTGAATTTTCTATTCTGTTCCACTGGTCCACGTTTTCAAACAAGTCCCATGCTGTTTTGACTACTATAGCTTTGTGGTAGGTTTCAAAATTGCATATTGTGATGCTTCTAGCTTTGTTCTTTTTTCTCAGGAATGCTTTTCTTATCTAGGTCTTTGTAGTCCCATAAGAATTTTCTTTTTCTCTCTCTCTCTCTTTCTTTCTCTCTCTCTCTCTCTGTCTCTCTCTCTCTCTTTCTTTCTTTTCCTTCCTTCCTTCCTTTCTTTCTTTTTCTTCTTCTTCTTTTTTTTTTTTTGTTGTACTGGGGCTTGAACTCAGGGCCTACAGCTTGAGCCACTCCACCAGCCCTGTTTTTTTGTGATGGGATTTTTCAAGATAGAGTCTCACAAACTATTTTCCCTGGCTAGCTTCAAACTGTGATCCTCCTGATCTCTACCTCCTGAGTCACTAGGCTTACAGGCGTGAGCCACTGGCAACCAGCTCATGTGAATTTTTTCTAGTTCTGTGAACAATGTCACTGGCATTTTGATAGGGATTTCAATGTATCTGTAGGTCACTTTGGGTAGTAAGGACAACTTAACAATGTTAATTCTAATCCACGAGCATAGAATGTTTTGTGTCTTCTTAAAATTTTTATTATAAAGATCTTTTGCTTTCTTGGTTAAATTTGTCCTAGGTAGTTTATTATTTTGTGGACATTAAGAACATATTTCTTTTTAAACTTCTTTTTCATCCTGTTTGTTTTGAGTATACAAAAATGCTATTATTTTGTATATTTGGTTTTGTATCCTACAGCTTTACTGAATTTTTTCATCTGTTCTATTAGTTCTTTAGTGGCGTCTTTAGGGTTTCCAACATATAAGAACATATCATATGGAAACAGGGATAATTTGACTTTTCTCTTTCCAGTTTGGATGCTTTTTTTGCTCTGGCTTAGACTTTGGCTATTATGTTGAATAGGAGTGGTGAAAATGGTCACCCTCTTTTGTTCCAGATTTTAGAAGAAATACTTTCAGATTTTTCCCATTCGACATGATGTTGGCTGTGGGTTTGTCATATATGCCATTATTGAGTTGAGGGATATTCCTTCCATACCAGTTTGTCAAGGAGTTTTTTCGCACAGTCTTCTTTGCAAGTTTTATGTCTGCCCTACCTTCCAGGAAGAGTGACTCCCTGGAAGTACAAAGGAGTGTGAGTGAATGGTTATCTAGATTTCCTTTTCTATCTCCAGAGCCACAGACAAAGGTTCCATATAAGTAATAACTATGCCTTGTTAATATGGCATTCTGCAGCGGGGCTGCTATTCAGGTTTTTCCCACTTTTGTGCACGAAAGTCTTGATGGCAATGAACATTTGGCAACTACTCAAATCAGATCACTTGCTTCCCCTGTGCAGTCAGCCTCACAAAGCCTGGGGTCCCTGTGTTACCTCCCCATGCTTCTGTCACTCTCTAGCTCTCTTCCCTCTCCCTCTTGCATTCTTCTCTCCAGTCATGATGAATTTCTTTTTGATTTCTGGAACAAAGCACTTAGTCTCTCAACTTTGGCCCATAAACTTCTTCCACTCAGATTGCTCTTCTCTGCCATCCTCACACCTGCTTCCCATGTCTTCCTGATGTTCTTCTTCAGCTTTCAAGTTTCAGCCTGATGTCACTTCTTCTAGAAGCCTTCCACCATCTCCTATGTTTTCATTATGGATTCCACTATGAGCTTACCACTCTGCATTTCCTCTGTCACACACCCATCACACTATATTGTCACTGCCTGGTGCCCCTGTGACCACCTGTGATCCCTTCCCCTTGAAGGCAGGCTAGAGAATAGGACAATGATTTTAAATCATCCAATAAGCCAGGCACTGGTGGCTCACACCTGTAATCCTAGCTACTAGGGATGCTGAAATCAAAAGTATCACAGTTTTGAGGCCAGCCAGGGTAAAAAGTCAGCAAGACCCCACCTCAAGGGAAAAGAGGTCGATGTGGTGGTATGCACCTGTCATCCCAGCAATAGCAGGAAGCTTAAAATAGGAGGATTGTGGTCCAGGTCATTCTGGGCCTCTCTTTTTTAAGAGAGACACTATTTCCAAAATAACCAGAGCAAACAGGGCTGGAGGCGTGGCTAAAGTATGAAGCTCGGAATTCATTTTCAACATGGGGTAGCTCAATCAATATTTTCAGAATAAATGAACAAGAAGGTAGGGATATAGCAGTATTGATTGCTAAAAACACTAACAATAAAAAGAAAATAACTGTAAGAAATCAAGTAGCTACTATGTACCAGAGAAAGATAATGACACTGAAATTATAATATGTATGATGTATAAGTTAATTTATAATATATGTGAATAGTATAGATAATATTATATATAATGTACATAATATATAATATACAAATATATAACTTAAACTCTATAAATGCATTGTCCCCAGTTTACAGAGGAGTAAATTGAGATTCATGAAGATTAAGTTACTTGCCTGACAGTCCATGACTAGAAAGTGTTAGAGTTGACTGTGGCTTCAAACCACATGCTTCATTTATAATATGCCAGTACCTTGAGAAATAAATGAGAAGACATGAACCAACCCATCGGAGTAATTATGCTAAGAGATCATGTTTGTTGCAATTTTTGAACAGCTACAAGATTCCTCTTTGATCCCAAAGTCCATACCTTTTCCAGATTCAGCATATCTTGATAGATCACTACAGATTCAGAGATTAAAGTTGAGGTCACCACCCTCAGAGAGGTCAGTCCAGTTGGGAAAAGTTAGGCAAACAGCCAGTCACAACATAGACTCTCAGGTGTATATAATGGGGAAAGTACAAAAGGCTGGAAGAGCTGCAATCAGACAAATCTCTGCTTTCCTGGAGACCACTCCCTGGCTGGGGCCAATTTGCATACAGTATCCCTGAGGTCCCTGAGGTTCTGCCCTCAGTTTACCTTGCTCCTCTTTGCTGTAGTACAGAGATGCCTACTTGCTCCGGCCCTCTCAGTTCCTTGGGGAACCGTGCAACTTCTCTGACAAGGAGGTGGAAGACTGTGTTACAAACAGACCATGCAGAAGTCAGGTGCGATGTGAAGGCTTTGTGTGTGCACAGACAGGTATGACTGGGTGTAGGAGTGGGAGGGAAGCTTGTGAAAGAGATGATGGCACATGGTAATGGCATAATGGGCTATGTAGTACTCATTATCAGGGTCATGGGACAGGTCAGAAGAACTGCTTGTCCTCAAATCTTGGACCTCCTTTTATTTATATTATTGCATAAGCATCTCTATAATGTAGGTGTCATTATTATCCACACTTCACAACCAAAGAAATACACACTTGGACAGCTCACTTACCTCAATTCATTCAGCAGCTGGATCCAAGAACTGAAGGTAGAAATTTAGAAATTCAGTTTACATTCATTGACACCAAAAATACTTATGGTAGAATCAGAAGTCCTAGGTCAGGTCTTGTTTTGACTTTGTGATCTAGGAGAAGACACTTAATCTTTTTTTTGCATTATGGCTCCCTCAGCAGAATACTGAGGGTAATATTAGTGTCTTACAAGTTTGTTATAAGCATCAAGTGACAATGAATCTGTAGACTGATAGCTCTGTTAAGAGCTCAGAGTCTGGGACTGAGTATCATGTGGCAAAATCCAAAACAGTTGAGTAGTCATTAATATTACTTATCTTTGAAAACTCTTTGGTGACAGAGTCCCTGTCATTTGTTTTTCTGCATTCCCAAATCCAGAAAATCTCTAATGCATGATATAGTTGTTAAAATTATTGATTATCAAAAAGAAGGAAAGAAAATAAAGAGGAAAAATGGACAAATGGAAGAAAGGAAGGAGCACACAATGAATAATTATTCACTGCAGAAATAAGTAAACATTATTTACTTATTTGAGTATTTTTCCAACTCATGCATTTAGCTAATCCAAATAAATATCTACCTATTTCCGCAAGTACCTGGCAAAAATAAGGCTACTTTGACCTAAATTATCTAGATGGGAATTGCAGCTCTCTACATTCACTGTACCCTTGTGGATTGAGCTCCAGGATCTTTTAAAAAAGAAATGGGGGTTCTCAGTACGAATTTTAGGGTTTATTGCAAATGTAAAATTTCCATCCAATAAATCTGAGAGACTCTTTTACAGTGTGTCTATGGACTCATTATGGGCAGTGTTCCGTGGTTCTGGCCAAAGTCATAATGGTTATTCAGGCAAGCTTTAGTTTAAATGCCTTGTAAGAAACATTTGAAGACCGGATTGTTATTTTTCTGCCTTTTACATCCTGATATTGATTAAAAATGACCTAATATGGCCAAGAAAGCAGGGACACCTGTCTCATGAACTCTATTCCCCAACAATGTACAGATAAGAAAGGAAGTTATGTCAGTGGGGAAAAGCTTAGAGGCAGCAAAAGTAATGTAAACGGTTGTGGTGCTGAAGGCAGGATGGGTTAGTTAAAAATTCCAATCCTGCTGCAAACACTTACTAGCAATGTCACTTGGCCCGCTAAAACACTAACATAGTGATGATAACGCCTTCACAATACTTACCATGAGTCAATACCATTTTGTTTACTAATTCAAATTGCCTATGATCTTGTAGAATAGGTATGGTAACGTCTCTATTTTACAGATGAGGGAACTGAGGCAGGGAAGTTAGATAACAAGCTAGTGCTACTGCAGGATCCACCAAACCCACCTCTTCCTAGGTTCAGGGAGAGAAGTCCAAACTGGCCTCCTGTCTGGATGCCTGGTCCCTGATTCTCAGGCACTTCGCCTTTCCCTGCCTTCCCCTTGCAGAATGGTTCCAATAATTTCTCCTGAAAGTGCATTTGTATGTGACTTATAACACATGACTACCAGTCTCCTTGTGCACCTCTGGAGCCAAACCCCACCCTTTGCTCCAGACAACCACTGGTGACTTCTAACACAATGGATCAGTGTTGCTTATTCTAGAACTTCACAGACCAGAATTTTACAGCATATACTTAAATATCTAGCTTCTTTTGCTTGCCAGACTGTCTTTGAATCCAGCCATGATGCTCTTCATTATGGTTCATTTCATTTTTATTTTTGACTAGGATTCCTGTATGTGTGTGTGTGTGTGTGTGTGTGTGTGTGTGTTTATGTATCTGTGAGTGTGTATATCTACACATACACCACAACCTATTTATCCCTTCAGTGTTTATCAGTGTTGAGTTTTTGTTTTGTTTTGTTTTGAACTCCGGTGTATCAAGCTACAATACACATTTGTGTTGTGGGCATATGTTTTCATTCTTAATAAATATCTAAGAGCAAAAAAAAAAAAGTGCATTTGTAGAAATGCAAGGCTGGTGTCTTTTGGGGGGAGCTGGCAAGAGGGAATAAATAATTGGTGCTATTACAAATCTGCCCTGGCACCCAAGGACTAGTGCAAACAGGCATTCCAAGCCCAGCCACATGCTTGGCACCTGGTTGTGCTTATGCTGTGTTAGCTCCTCTTTTAAAAGCAGCCACACGACTGTGACAATCTCCTTTCTTCATTCCAGGGAGGTGTGTGAACCGCAGGCTCCTTTGCAATGGGGACAATGACTGTGGAGACCAGTCAGATGAGGCAAACTGTAGAAGAATTTATAAAAAATGTCAGCAGGAAATGGACCAATACTGGGCAATTGGCAGTCTGGCCAGTGGGTAAGTTACTGTTTTTCTGCCATGTGGATGGGAAGGCACCGAATGGAACTCTGGAGAACAGAGAAGGCAGGTGGGAGCTGGAATGAATAGTTTCCTTTCTGAAATAAATAAATAAATAAAAAGACTACAGTGTAAGGAAGTGGGTGCCTCTGGCTTCTCTGTGGGGCAGCTCCAAGTTGCTCCAGAAGCATGTCCCATGGACAGACACGGGCCACAGAAAGGCCGGCCTAGGACCCTGGGACAGAGCTGTACATGGGAACCACTGGGGCTGCTGTGAGCCCTGGGGAAGAACCTTAACATCTGTAGTTCATCTGTTTCTGGAGCTTCCTCAGCATTGCCCCTGAACCCAGCTGAGAACTGGCAAAGTAGGTGATATCTTACTGTATCCTTAGGCTCCAGCATCCTGATGTACTAGAAAAAGAGGCTCTTAGTGGCTAGTATGGGAATGGCTTTCTGGGGCAGGTCTATAATCAATCTGTTTCAAGCCTCTGCAGATCTGTGCATTGGTCCAGTCATCTGGTGAGGTAGAGGAGCAGGGTCAGAAGAGGCCAAACTGGCCTGGCATTCACCCTACTCTCTTGCCACATTCTACAGCTTCTCAGCCTACAGGTGAAAGAGCGAGACTCCCCCTTCATGTCTGTTAAGACTCATTGTAAATGATCCTGCTGGAGAGGCAAGCAGTGACCCTTATGGAAATCACCTTCTCCCTAACAAATGTCAGATCTCAACCATAAAGTTTGTTATCAGAGACACACTCTTCACTGGAGATTATAATCCCGACCTCCCTGTAAGGAAACTGAGGCCCTAAAAATTAAATAAGCTCCAGGGATCACACAGTTAGAGAGCAGGAGAATGGACATCCAAAATCAGAAGTGAGAGCCAATCTGACCCTATAGGAGGGGACATTTACCATAGAAGGAGCAGACAAGCCTGGAGAAAAGCACAGGTGAGGGAACAGGATTTGCAGGTGTATTGGGAGTGGCCAAAGATGAAGCTGGGGACCTGGTGTGTACCAGATACCAACAGCCTTGCCTGCTGAGACAGGAGTTTTCTATTTCATTCAGTGGGGTCTGCCAACTGAGTCTGTGCCACCTGCGAGCCGAGCCTTTTCATCTTCTCTGTGCCTTTTTCACAGGATAAATCTCTTCACAAACAGTTTGGAGGGCCCAGTTCTTGATCACAGGTATTATGCTGGTGGATGCTCCCCTCATTACATCCTGAACACGAGGTTTAGGAAACCATACAATGTGGAAAGCTATACCCCACAGGTAAGGGATAGCGGGGTAGCTGCTACAGAGCAGTGAAGGGGCACTAGAGGAGGAACCTGCAGCCTGCTAGCTGTGTGACCTTTCTCAACACACTTTTGTTTTGAGCTTCAGTGTTTTCATTGCAAAGTGGGAGGGAGCGCCTCAAGACCTGAGCTGAGGATGATAAGGGACAGGCTGGAACGCTAAGAGGAGCTGTAGTAGCAGTAATGCTAGCCACTCCGAAGATAGAGGGTAGTTTAGGATTTGGAGTCACACAGGACTGGTGGCTCGTCCACTTGCCATCTATGTAATCCTTTGAGCCTCTGTCTTCCTGTCTTTAAATTGGGAGCCAGAAAGTTTCTATCTGCAGGGAGATGAGTGAGATAATGTCGGTGTTTAGCACAGCAGGGAGTCCTCAGTACATGTTAACTCTTGTTATCATTGTGGCCAAATCCTTGCCAGTCAATCCAGGAATTGTTCTAAGCATTTTAAGTTCTAAAAAGCTGCACCCATGTAAACCTGTTCTGTGATTTGTGTACACACTCAGAAGCCTATCTCTCAGAGCAGTGTTTGAATACACTGTGTTACTGCAACACACACACTTGCCATTGGACAGGAAGACACTGGGTCCCAGTTTTATTTTCACCTAAGATCCTTTTCCACTCTGGACCTCATTTTTCTTATCCTTAAAGTAAAGGGCAGGACTAGAGGATCTCAATGAAACCCTAACCCTGTCCCCTTTTTTCTTGCCCCCAGCAATGCATATTAGCTAAAAAAGAAAAAAATTAGCTTAGGACCAAAACAAGGGCCCAATCCATCCCTGCAGCCTCTATTGCGTAGGGGGACCTTAGATCTGCCATTTATTATCCAGAGTAAGACAGACCCCAGCATGAGCAGCACATGTAGACAAAAGCCTGTACTCTCCACAGCCAGCACTTCATGAGTGCTGTGTCCGTCACTGTGCTGGGCTTTGCCTCTATGGGCCCAATCCTCAGGACAGGCCTGTAGGAGGGAGATTATCATCTCCACTTTATACATGGAGAAACTGAGGCCTAGAAAGGTGAAGTCATTGTCTAAAGTCATTCACCCACAAGGGCTATGACACAATGCATCTTAACAGCCTTGTCTCCAGCTAACATCCACACCACTGCTGTTCCTCTCCTGTGCTGTGGAGGGATTGTGCTCTTAAGGGAATTACAGGTGTCCACAGAAGTTGATGGGAATGGAGTGGAGATGATTCAGGATTGGTCACTCCAGGGCCACTGAGGCTGTACCCTTGGCAGTTCCCCTGTGCAATGATGGTGAACACTGGTGTTTGAGCAAGCAACTTCCCTAAGCTCTCTCTAAGACAAATGGGCCAAACTTCATCCACTTCAGGGACTTTAGATCCTTGTCAACAGTCATTTCCTCTCCCCATACAGTCTGGTTTGCCTGACTCCAGATTCATCCCTTCCAGTACAACCACCATGCTTTCAGAATGATCTTCCTGGGCTCCTCTCCTCCCTCTGTGGGTTCTTCTTTGCATTAAACAAAGTAACTCAAAACCCTTACATCTTGATACCAGAACATTCTCTTCCAACACCTGTGTCCCTCACTCCTTCATCTTCTGATTCAACCACACAAGCATCTCAAAAGTTCTCAGACATTTCCACCTCCCTCTGTACCTTTACTAAACCTATATCCCAGAACATCTCCCCTGCATTTCTGACAACTGAAATCCAAATCAAGTTCCAACTTCTAAATGTTGACTAGACCTGTGTCTCCTGCTGGGTTAGGACCCCTGAGGTGGGGATGCATTTGTCCTAATTTTTCTGTGTCTAGAACATCTACCTAGTCCAGGTCTGGCACACAACAAAAGTACAGTGTAGTGAACCCATCTGAGTCAAAGGAAGTAAAAAACATTTTCTTTTCTCTTCTTTTAGACCCAAGGCAAATATGAATTTGTACTAACAAAATATGAATCGTACTCAGATTTCGAACACAATGTCACAGAAAAAGCCACTAGCAGGTCCAGTTTCAACCTTGGTTTTAAAATATCTGGCACATTTGAACTTGGCATTAATAAGGCAAGCAATCAAGGGAAAATTTATATTAGCAGAACCAAACGATTCTCCCATACTGTAAGTACCCTTTTGTTGATTTTAAATATGTTTTTTTAAATTTTATGCCTATAGATGTGTCTGACTTCCACATTACTTGTAGTCCTAACAGCCAATGAAATTTTTGTTGCCTTGAAATTCTTTTGTTAAGAAATACTTTGGTCATTAACTTACTTTTTAGAAAGGCTAAGCAAAGAAAGTTTTCTATAATTATTTTCTACTGTTCTTAATACATCTTTTCCTTTGGTTTCCAATAAACTTAAGATGTAGTGTTGTTAAATCAAAACATCACTGAAGATTTTTTCAGTCCACTGAAATTTGACTACTGTCTCAGACACATTTCTAAAATGTCACCTAAACCTCTTACCTTACTTCTTGGGGCATCTGGTGGAGCTGGCCACAGCATTTCTCTCCTATTTCTCTGCCTTGCTTTCTTATTAGTTTCCTTCCTGGGTTTAATATCAAAGCCTATTCTTTCTTCAATTTACAGCCATTGTGTTCCCTTCTTACTCTTCTACTTACCTTGCCACCAGCTCCATTACTACCTCTACCTTTCTGTTAAGCTCCAGGGATGCCCTGTCCCCTCATCTGACCACCTCACCTAGATGCTTGGCTCACTCCAAATAAATTTCTTCCTTCTACATTTTCAATCGATGTGGATGGCATCTTTCCCCTCTACTTTTCTAGGCTAAGAATTGCAGAATGATATTTGGTGCTCACTTCTGCTTTGTTTCCACAGCTATTGGTCACCCAATCCTTCAGTATCACTCTCTAATATTTTTTACCCTAACTCCTATTATATCTCAATTAGCCCAGGCCCTTTCATCGCTTGTTCTGCCCTAGTAAATGTTCCCCCTGTCACCCAACTTGCCCCTTTACATGTGTGTGCTGCTGGAGAGATTCTTCTACAATACCAATGTAATCATATGTCTGATCCTATTGCCCAGAAGGTAAAGGTCAGAATCCATGATTTGGAGGAAGAGGAGTGATGAGTGTGGGAAGCAATGGGATATGATGTTGGAGAATCAGGTGATGGGCAGATTTGAGTAACCCTGAATTCCAGGGTGAAGAAGGTGCATTTTCTTTATACCCACTGAGCATTTTCAATTCAGGAGTGAGGTGGTAAAAAATTAATCAGAGGTAGACATGGAAATATCAAAACTGAAAGCCAACAATGATTCATAGGAGAGCAAACAAATAGTAAGGGATTCAGAAAGATTCCTGCTGCCAAAATATTAGCCAGTAGGAAAAAGGAACTTAGCATTAATTAGACAGTAACTATCTGTGCTTCTCTTGCCTCATCTTCTACACTGTCAGGTCTTTGGGGGCAGAGGCTGTTTCCTTCATTTTTAGATAAGAATAGCATTTAGTAGGTACTCAAGACTGAACTGTAGGGATGAAGGATAGGACAGCTTAAAATCAATTTACTTTTGTAGGAGGGAAAACAGTGGATTCTATCCACTTACTTTCTCTTTCTCCTTCTCCCCCCATCCCTACCTCACCTCCCTGATTCAAATTGCATTATTTGATGCTAACATTGTGCTTAGCATTGCACTAGACTTGAGACCTAAAACAAATGCCATATGGTTCCTTTTTCTATTCAAACTTACTGTCTTATTTTTAAGTATGTGTATTATGAGGCTCAGTGCAATAACTTGATACATTTATATAAGGTATAATGATGAAATCTGACTAATTAGTGTTTCCTCTCTGTAATCACTTATTTCTTTATGTTAGGTACCTTCAAACTCCTCCTTCTAGTTCTTTATTAAATATGTAATAAATTGTTCTTGGCTTCATGTTCACAGTCTAGGAATAAAGGTAAACACATAAGCAGATCAATACAGCACGCCATATGCTATAAAAGAAAGATGAGCAAAAAGCAATGCAATCTTGGAAAAGGAGTGCATGTCTGGGATATCAGGGGATGGCTAAGTGGGGATTTAAAAAGTAAGTAGGGTGTGTATCCAGCAGAAAAGGGAAGGGAGAACCTTTCAGACCAAAGGAATGGCAGGTGCACAATTATATCATGGAAGGGAATGCAGGTTTGGGGAACATTACAAAGCTGGATGAATGCTGAGGTACAGTGTGGCTGGTGAAAAAAGGCCAGGTATGGAGAGGAGCACTTCAGTGTCGTAGAAACTGAAGCCAAAGAGGCTATTGGAGGACAAATTGTGAAGGTTGTATAGGCAAAGTAAGGGAGTTGATTTAATTCTGAAGACATTAGTGAGCCAATGAAGGAGTTTCCTGTTGCTGTTTAAGCCCTAGGGAGTGTTATCATAATACTATCAGAGTTTTAGGAAGTTAACTCTGATTGGGGCATTGAAAGCAGACTAGAGGAAGAAGGGAGTTCAATGGGGAATCTTTTATAATGACCTAAGTAACCATGGGAGAGAGATTCTCCAAAGAAAAAGGGTATTTATTTGGGAATTGCTGAGCATTGGGATAGGAATAAGCAGCCTTAGTAAAGTATGTGAATATTCAAGGAGGTTTGGAAAGGGAAGTTTTTAAAGACAAAAGTGAATAGTATGACATGTTTTTAAACAGTAACCCTTAGGTTATTGGATTAATAACATAGGTGGCACCTATCTAAAGGGCAAATATCCTCAAAGAAGCTTTTTTTTTTTTTTTTGGTGTAAGGTTGTGGTGGCCTTCATACAAGGTTATCATTCTAGATCATTCTATCAGACTTTTGTGATAGTCACTATTTTTAGACAATCATACATGAGAACCCTTCCTTCAACCTCCTGATTTATTTTTTTGTTAGAGTTGATGAAATAGACAACATATTAATTCTGACAACTTTCACAAGCTCAAAAAGAGAAAGATTTAGAAACTTCAGGAACAGAGTACCTAGTGACACAGGCAGGCAGGCTAAAGCAGAAGGAGGAGTCATGTGCCACAGGCAGGACTAGAACTGGGTGAGGGCAAGCCAAGAGGGAAAAATGGGGACCTGGGTGACAGGAACACACAGAACTGCATGGCTTTATGGAACTGAAGGTTTGGGGACTGTTGCTGAATGAACCTCACTGTTGGTTTCCACCATTGGTTTCTCTCTTCTGGCTGCACCTCAGTATAGGGACCTCTTACCTTAGGTTGTAATAAGACCTCCTTCATTGCTTATCTTTCCTTCTATTTCTTCTGAAATCACCAGCTTTCAGTCTATTTCATACCTCAGGAAGATGCCAAACTTCTGGAAAGTACCAGATGGTAAATATTTTGAGCTCTGTCCCCCTAGTGGCTCCATTGTAACTTCAGTTCTGCTGCTAGTGTGACAACAGCTATAGACAATACACAAACAGGCAGCAGATTTGATATATAGGCCGTGGTCTGCTGGCTCTCCCATAAGCTACATATCTGGCCTTCCTAAAGAATGTCTTAGTCTTTCTGGAATGGCTTTCCTTCACTGAGTTTAAAAGATAAAAGCAAACAGGTTGTGTTTGCAAGTTACCACACCCTGCTCCCATCCAAGTATCTCCAGGCGCCCCCACCTGCCCCACCTTGCCTGTTTCTGGCTACCCTTCACTGTTTATTTACTGCAGTAAGAAGGTGAATTCAGAACAAACTCCTCCAAGCCAAAAAGGATGTCAGAACTTTATAAGAATTGAAAGGTTGACAAAGAAGCCATGTTCCCTCAAATATCCTGAAGGAATCATAAGAATGATGACCCTTGGCCAAGAACATCGGATGGTATTTGTAAAGTTCATCTTCTCTTTCCTGATTCCAAACATTAAAGGTCTGATTTTCCCATGTTGGTATTTCATTTAGAAAAGCAAGTTTCTGCATGCACGCTCTGACCTTGAAGTAGCTCATTACAAGCTGAAACCTAGAAGCCTCATGCTCCATTACGAGTTCCTTCAGAGAGTCAAGCAGCTGCCCCTGGAGTACAGCTATGGGGAGTACAGAGATCTCTTCTGGGACTTTGGAACACACTACATCACGGAGGCTGTGCTTGGGGGCATTTATGAATACACACTCATTATGAACAAAGAGGCCATGGAGATAGCAGGTGCGCTACCCGAGGGGCCATGGCCTTCCTTCTGGGGCACACAGAGGGACAGGCTGATGGGGAAAGAATGTCACATTAAAGTTGAACAGGAGTCAGAAGCTGTGATGCTAGTTTTCCTCTAACTACTGGCTCCACCTTCACAATCACATTGGCAGGTTCTTCATCCTCCTCCTCTTTTTGGCTTATTGATGTCAATCCCTCACTAGTGCTCCCTTGAGGGAGTCCTCTTGCCCACAACTACTCTTTCTGTCCAATCATACCTGCTTCTTGGCTTTAAACACTTTCAAAATGCAGATAGCTCCTAATTTTTTTATTCATCCTGGTCTCTTTTCTGGACCTAATATCTTCTGTTGAAATGCCTTCTTGGTATCTCTATTTGAATATCTAACAAACACCACAAATGTAACATGCCTTCCAAAAGCACTTTTGATTTTCTTTTCCAAATATGTGTCCTCTAAAGTCATCTACAGCTTGGAAATGGTTCTACCCAGCCGGTGAACCAGCCAAAAACCTAGGAGTCAACCTTAATTATTTTTCTTGCCTTCAGTCTATTAGCAAGTTCCTTCAACTCTACCTCAAATTACATTTTTTATTTTCATGTTCCTACCATAGGCTTCACATTTAAAATTTAATATGAATATGAATTACAAACAAATCTTGGAAAAGGCAGGTTGTGACACAATAGGCTTTGGGTGAGACCCCAAATTCTGTACTTCTAATAAGCTTAGAGATGATGCTGCTATTTCACAGGCCATACTTTGAGTAACAAGGACTCAGGTTACTGTAGTCTTCAGGCTAATATTCACCCCCCAATCTTTCCCTATAGTCCATCTTTCCTACAGGCATTCCAGGTCTTTCCATCTACCCTCAGCTACCAGTCTCGGGGGTGAATCCTACTTTCTAATTCAGTATTCTGCCCTACAACAGGGCACTTGTTCAGTTCTACTCTATGTCATGGAAATTACAGAGGCAGATCCAGGGCTTAATTGTATGTCCCAGGTTCTTGCAAGAGGACACATGGTAGACAGTAAGTTTATGTCAGTATGACTTCAGTCTTGCCAAGACCAAGGGATGCCTTTCTCCAAAATAGTGCTCTTAAAACTACTCTCTGTGATTCCTAAAGCTGCTTCTTACTTAAGGCCTTTGTGATCTCATAACCCAGGAAATGTAGAATTGCTCCCACTCTTAGAGTTCCACCAGCATGCAGCAAAATAACCAGAGCACTGCACCTCTTTTGATGTGACATTTGTCACACTTACATAACCCCAAAATTCTTTTTCTTGTAACACCTGCTAATGTTTCATGGGAGTTGTGTTTCAGGGGACATGCTTTGGGAGAACCTGGTCTTCTGCAGTTTTGCTAGCAATCCTAGTAATCAGAGTTGCTCTTCCTTCCCTACCTCAGCTCCAAAGCACTAAAGACAGGTGCTTATCAGTCATGTGTTAGATTCAGCCAGACCAGGGAGAAGGATGCCTCAAAGAGAATTAGGGAGGAACAAAGTACCAGACAGTACCAGACAATTTGTATACATAACTTTAATTCATTAATAATCCTCTTTGACTACTTTATCAAAAATTAAAGAAGGGTGGGTCTGGGGAAGGCAGGAAGGTTGTAGCAGACATTGTACTTCCTAAATCAGAACCCTGGGAACCTGATAAGGAGGCCAATTTTGAGAGAATAACTGAGCACTTCCCCTCTTTGAAGGCAGGGAAAGTCCTGGGAGGAGGGTGAAACAGGAAGTTAGGTATGATCTCTGTGAGGTCTCTGCTCTGGTGCCAGTGACTGCGTGCACTTCTTGGCATCAAACTGGTGACTTGTTTATTTGAAACTTTGTTCCTGTGACATCCAAGGAAGGGTTAGGCTTCTAGAGTCACTCTTACGAAAAAGAACAGAGTGAATTACCTTGCAAGTCTCAGACCTCTTTCCTTGCTTCTTCCAGATTATTCCCTTGACGATGTCCAAGCTTGTGCCAAACTAGATTTTCAAATTGGTGGTGCCATTAAGGGTGTCTATGTCAAGCTGGGTGTGTCAGAAAAGAAATGCAAGGAGATTCTGAATGAAATCAAAGGTGAGAGCAAAAGGCATGTGACTTCTGCACTTACAACTTTTACCTTCCTTGCACTCTTGGTCCCAGTCTTTCTCTTAACTGAGCACTGGATTTTCCAAGGCATGCAATTAAAATAGTAGTCAATCCAATAAAAATCTACCAAGCTCCTAGAATGTGCTGAGTGTACTGAAAGGAATAGGATTCAACTCCTAACCTCATGTGCACATGTAAGATAGGCAAGCAGCAAAATAAGCAATGACAAGACACACCCAGGCTAGAGCATCAAGACAGGTTTGCCAGAGGAGGGAAACAACTCGAGAACTAAAGTGTCCAGGTCCTTTGTAGGCAGGAAAAATAACCTAACAATAATTCTACCCTGGGTGCTGGGAGTTGGCCTGGCTAGAGGTAGGATGCTGGGATTGAGGCAGGTCGAGGAGGCTGGGCCTCGCCTAGGAGAAGGAGAGTAGAAAAGTAGCATAGTAACAGGTCATGTGGCAGCGGCCGAATGGCAAGGGAAGTCCAGACCTGGGGTGGAGATGGAACCAGCCAGAGTGTAGAGCCCTGTCTGGGAACAGGGAACCTGGAAGCAGTGCTAGGAGTTAGGAATCAACACAGCAATGGAGTAGGCAAGAGGCAGAAGGGCAGCACTGCAGCCCCTAGACCCTCTGTACCTCATGGGGCTCTACCATTACCTGCTCTCCCTGCTGGGTTCCTGCCAGAATTGCATGTGAAGAATTCCACAGCTGAGACAAAGCACAATAAAGCACAACCACAGAAATTAACTGTTGACCTCAAGTAACCATTTGTACTTGAGACTGATTTGTTGACATTGCTTATTTGTTCGTTGTGATGGGGCTAGGTACTCACTAAAGAAGACTTGTGAAGCAACCCTCATCCAAGTTACTGAATGGAGTAGACTATGGCCCATACCCACAAGGCCTTGTGATTACAATGTCTCCCATCCTTTGCAAGATAACCTATGACTATCCCAACTCCTCCTCTCCTCCTTCAGAGGTACTAGGGTTTGAACCCAGGGCCTTGTGCTTGCTAGGCAGGTGCTCTGCCACTTAAGCCATGCCCCCAGCTCTATTTGAGTTTAGTTATTTTTCAGATAATGTCTTGCATTTTTTGCCTGGGCCAGCCTCAGACTGCAATCCTCCTAACTATGCCTTTAAGCATAGCTGTGATTACAAATGTGTACTACCATACCCTGCATGTATGAGCTCTCATTAACTTTTTGCTCAGGCTGGCTCAAACTGAGATTCTCCCAATTTCTACCTCTTGAATAGCTGAGATTGTTCCACCATGCTTACCACTATCCCAACTTCTACGCTAAAAATGTCCTTCCTTTCCTTATACTTTTACCATATATATATAGTCACTAACTGATATGGCTTAGTGTTGCTTATTTTTTAACTTCATATGGATGGTATGTAATCTTTCCAGTCCTGCATTTTGCATTCAATATCATGTTTGTGCTTGTAACTATAGTTATTTCCCTCCCATTGCTTCAAAATCTTGTAGCATATGAATGTATATCTAATCTATTCTGTGTCCATTTCCTTGTGCATCTTTGATGGCTATTTGGATTATTTCCTCTTTTAAGTAATTGGAATCAGTACTGCTATGAACATCTTACATAGTCAACTCAGAATGGGAATGCTTATTGATGTGATTGGAATTTTCTGGATAACTCCATGAGAAGTTAAAATAATAATTGTTTTATAGAAGCCACTGTTCAGAAAACATCTGTTCCATGCTGAGCCAAGTCTAGTTCCTACTTTATAGTGAAGATTAAATGACCACGCACATGCACAATGTTTAGGTTAGCGACTGACCCGGAGGTGATCATTAATCAGTAGCTGTTATCTTTCCACTTATTCTTCATGTGGATGCAGAGGATTCACTGTAGATGAGGAAAAGAGAAAGCTCATCCCATATAAAGGACTTGTTTAAGACCGTAAGGCTAGATGAAGTCAAAGCTGAGGTTCAGGCCTGCTGGAAGTGTTTGGCAGGGGGATGGGAGGTTGAACCATTTCTGTCATTCAAGCTCCCACATACTCGAGTCCAAGGAACCAGTTTGGTGAGATCGTTATTTGACCAGGAGCAGTGATTATCAACCCAGACAGACCTTGTTTAAAAATCTATCAGCTACTGAATGTGTGGGTCTGGGCAAGTGACTTAAAAGTTCTAAGTATGAATTTTATCATTTGTGAAGTAGAACTCATGATGCCTGGTTCATAAAATTGCCATCAGGTATAGCAAAATGCTATATAACCTACCTGTCACTCTACACTTTTACTAATCTATTTTTTGTCTTCTGTCTGTCTATCTATCTATCTACCAATCTATTATATGTTATCTATCTATCTTCTATCTACAAATCTATTACACATATGTTTATTTATATACCACCCATCAATCTACTTGTTTACCAATCTATTATCTATCTGCCTTCTCTCATCTATTGATCCATATGTGTATAAAGTCTAGTTATCATCTACCCATCTTCCATACACTAACTCAGTGACTGAAACTTGTAGATGCTTGAGTCAAATCTCTCTTCCTTGTCCTGCCTCCAGCCTGCACTATATATAATTGGGTGAGCTAACCTTTTACCACATGTAATGTAGGCAGGGTCGTGTCTTATTCTCCCATATCTCCCAGGCAAATTCAATGAACATTAGAACAACCAAATTGTTGGTTGGGCTGCAGTAAATTCTAGGGTGTAAAAATGGATCCTCTGATGACATGCCCCCTTTTTAATGCCCATTTCAGACAGAAACAAGAGGAACACCGTGATAGAGGACTTGGTGGTCCTTGTACGAGGAGGGACAAGCGAGCACATCACCACCCTGGTTTACAAGGAGTTGCCGACAGCTGACCTGATGCAGGAGTGGGGAGATGCTGTGCAGTACAACCCTGCCATCATCAAAGTTAAGGTACACACATCTGCTCTCCCCACCCTGCTTGTAGTCAGAACACAGTCTCTGAGGGCCCATGATGAGTTAGAGTATGGAATGTAGACATGAGTCAGACACAGATCCCAATCTTGAGGCACATACAATACAGCAGAAAATATATCTGAGATGAACAAATTAGAACACAGTGGCTCAAAGTCAGGCATGGTGGCATATGCCTGTAATCCAAGCTACTTAAAAGGCAGAGGTAGGAGGATCATGGTCTATGGCTGGCCCCCAGCAAAAAACACATGAACTCATCCAAAAAATAACTAAAGCAAAAAAGGACTGGGTACATGGCTCAAGAGGTAGAGCATTTGCCTAGCAAGCATAAGACCCTGAATTTAATCCCCAGTACCAAAAAAAAAAAGAACCTCACCACAGCAGTCAGTACTACCTAGAGAACTTTGCACCTTCTCACTTGCACCTCACGTTGCTAAAGGAAATCAACAACCAACTTCTGATTCCACATTTCCTAAATTAATATTGTATTTCATCAGAAAATCACTAGTTTATCATTTGCCTATTTAAACACTTAAGCATTCAACCAGCAAATAGTTGCTAGTTCCTGCCGTGTTACAGGAAGTAAGGTACTGGGAATAACAGAGAGAGAGGCTAGGATGAAGAATAAAACCTGGATGAAAAGTGAGATACATACATGCATAACTGAATTATAGGACAGGAGGAGACACCATGATAATCACTAGTATGCTTGGAGCATGTGCTGTGTTCGTGACACTCTGCCAGGGGCTTTAGGAATGTTATTTCATTGAATCCTTGCAGTGCCTTGCAAATTATATGTGTACTTACCTTCTTCCATGACTGATAACAAATCAAGAGTCAGAGAGGTTATACCCATCTCTGGGAGATCAACAGTCTTTGTTAGGTCCAACAAGGGTCTTCAACTCCTTGGTGAATAAAAAATAATGATCCAAACCCCTGTCACCCATGCCAAAGGAGGTTTGCAATCTTACACTTAAAAAGATGCCTGTAAGAACAGAACTGACAGACACAGCAGCAATAGTAGGTCCTCATCTGTGGGTGCTTCTGCGTGGTACCCATAGCACACCTTACCCTTGTTCTCTCCAGCGTCTGTACAATCATTGGCAGTTCATTGTCCACCCTGAGAGTCCTCCTTGCAGTCAAGGAGGGGGAATAAGAGGCAGGAGCTTGACAATAGACTGGAGTCCCAATCCTCACAGTTTCCCACAGGGTCTTTACTTGTGTGTCAAATGCATAGTTCCAGAGAAGAAGAAGGCTGTCATTCAAATCCTCTCCACTTTTCCTCAATAGTGACACTCAAGGCACAGTCACTATAGGCTGCAGCTACTGCAGTGAAATCTAGACTTGATTGGTGACAGGATGACACTGGTTGACATCACAGCCTGGCATAACAGACAACAGAGAGTTCAGAGGAAAAATAGGTCCCTGGCTTTTACTTTCTACTGAGACATCTTATCTGAAATTTTTTTAAACTGAGACCCAAGGGAATTCCCTGGACTGCCAAGGCCAAGCATGTGATACAATGTGAGATGTTTTTAGGAGTGGGAAAGGCAAGAGTATGGAGGATTTCTATGCACCTCTGTAGTTCCCTCACCTGAGCTGGAAACATATGTTCAGGTATCTCCTGCTTCATGCGTTCTTTCTGGTCAGGAAAAACTGCAGATGGCTTCACATTATCTCAGAAGAATTCTTTTCTGCAGAACCAGCTTACCAGATGGCTTACCTATCGATTAGATTTTCAGGACAGCAGAGCCCAGTAGATAAGAAATTCCTAGACACAGGAATGTTGGCTAATGCCTGAGTACATTAACAGTCTTTAAGATCAAGATTCGAGACATGATTTCTATAGTCACCAGATAGGCCAGGGCAGGGGGTGTGGGGGAAACCACAGAAGAACCCACTCACACTATCTACTTTAGACATGGACATTAGACATTTAGATACTTCCTTGTTCAAAGAAAAGTTAAAAGCAGAAATGGATATATGAAGAGATTTTGGATACAAAAGATGGAAACTGTGTTTAAGATGCAGAAAATGAGCACGTCTACATAATAGAAAAACAGAAGTAAATTTTAAAATGCACTTGCTTTGTGACTATAATAAAATTCAAAAATATGAGGAAATTATGAAATAAAAAATAGAAGCTGAGATGTTTAGACACTAATCAGATGAAAGAGAAGTGGCTGGATATACGGAACCAAAGGCATAATGGCAAAATTAAAACCTACATTGGAAACTATAAAGAACAGAATTGACACTGCAGAAAATTGAGTCACTGATGTGGAAGGTGCTATAAAAATGTTCTTATAATGTAGAAACAAAAGACAAAGAGATTAAAACAATGACAGAAAAGAAATATGATGGATAGAGTACAGAAGTGGAAATCTAAAATACAAAGACTTCTTCCTGAGAAAGAGACAAGATTAAACGTGAAGATACATTCATCAGCCACATAATAAGAGAAACTTCCCTGAGCTGATGCTACAAAAATAACAGCTCACTGTAAACCAGGCAAAAGTACTATACTTTTTTTTTACAATACTGAAACACATCCTGCTGAATGTTTTACTTTTAGAAACAAATATATCCCACAGAAATAAAAATCAAAATGTTCCTTTGAGTCTTTGTAACATGAAATGCCTGAAGATAATAGAGTAATAATTACTAAAGTCTTAAAGGAAAAATTTTGTGACCTGATGAAGTGTTCATCTATGAGTGAAGAATTCCAAAGACATTTTGAAATAGTAAAGAAATCACCAAAAAAAAAAACCAAACAGGACTCACAAAAAAGATTGCCAAATTATTGTTTATCTGACAATCAAATGTAACTTCTTGCATTTAATTGCTAATCTTAGCCCCATAGTCTATCATTTGTGTGTATTTCTGTACTAGTCAGGAGGCTAGGTTATTCGCAGGGACCTAGAATGGAGAAGCCACTCTAGGGAGCTCAGGCATTACCTAGGGTGGAATGAAAGAGTATGATAGTGAATGGTGTCACAGAGGTCAGGAGAGCCTGGTCTTGCTGCAGAGAAATAACCTGCAAACTCAGTGACTGAATTCAACAAAAGCTTATTTCTCAACCACACAGCATGCCCAAGAAGTACTGGTTACTGGTTTCATTAATGTGGTCATTCGGGAATCTAGACAAAGGGGGCTTTATCTTGTCACATGTTCCCAAGATCACTGCAATGAAACTAAAGGAATGCAACAAGTTACTGTGCTCTGGAAACATCAACTTGGAATTGGCACTCTTCTGTTCACCTCTTGCTAGTCAGATCAAGTCACACTGCCAACCTGCCTCTGTGCAGGCAGTCCCACCATGCGCAAGCCTGGTTTTGATGAACTAACTTTGAGTCCAGAAGAAAAAAAAAAGGTGAAATATTTGGTAAGCAGTAATAATGACTATCACCCCTTTCTGAAAGAAAATTTCTCCAGGATTTTCTAAAAGAAAATTACTCCAAACCAAAAAAGCCATAAAATGCAATGTGGTTATACTTAGCTGATAAAACAATGTCAGATTTGGACTGATAGATCTCATCACCCAAAATACAATCTGAATTTTAGACAAGAAAAACAGGATAATCACATGACAAGTAGCTCATCACAGTAATAATAATAATAATTTTGCCACAAATGAAGTCCTTGCTATGTGAGCAATGAAACAATTTATAAGAAAGATACAGTATCAAAGGAAATGGACAACACTCCGTTGACTAGTAAAGTTACAAAAATTTAATGTCTCTAGCAATAAAAAATAAAAGCTAAACTGCAAATTAATATTAGTTTTTACCTATCAAACTGACAATGATTAAAACTATAATATGCAAAAGCCTTAGGAGTGATGAGATGGGTATTTTCGTAAAACAGGATGAGAATACAACTTGGTACAATTTAGGAAATGCTCTCTCGAAAATATTAAAAACTTTTACGGTTTTTGATCTAATAATCCCAAATGGAAGAAACTACTAAAGAATTCATTTTAAAGGTTGGTAAAAATAGATGTATAAAGACATGCTGGGTTTAGTTATTTATAGTAGCAAAAGGGAAAAGAAGAAAAGTAACACCTTAATGCCAGACAACAGAAAAGCTGAATACATTGTACTTCATCCACTCAGCAGGATATTCAGGAGCCACTGAACAAAAATGCTACCCATGCACAGTGCACTGTGTGGAAACACATTGTGATAAGTGAAAAAATAGGATATAAAATTGTATTTAGGCACCAACTTGGTATAACTATCTATCCATTTGCCTATCTAAAATACATATATTGAAAGGAAACAGAGCACTATATTAGGAGTTCTAATCCTTATTCACCACTCACTGCCTGTGTGACCTTTCTCAATCAACTTGACTCTTCTGTGCCTCAGCTCTTTCTTCATCTGTGTGATGAGGAAAGAGAAGATTACCTAACTCAAAAGATGGTCATGAAGGTTAAGTTGGATGACGAGTGTGAGGTATAAATGTGAACTATGGTAGTAGTTACTTGACATTATTAAGAGCACCAGGGTCCACTGTAGAGGGTGGACTGCATGGAGTTTAATGGAGTTCACCAACTGTCTCCTTGTGACAGTGTGATAAATACACTTTTCACAAGTGCAGGTTTGTGAAGGATCCAGTGAACAATGTAAATATTTAGAGTTGAGTATTGGGGGAGAGGTGCAGAGGTAAGAGGAAAGGAGAAAAAAATAAAGAAAATAGAGGGAGGAAGGAGAGAAAGGGGTGGGGGAGAGACAAGAGGAAAGGAACAGCAAAACAAAGAACAGACATGTGTGCCATGTTAAATTAACAAGGGAGCTGCAGAGTCACTGCCAGTGCCAAGGCAAACCACATTCTCTTTCTGAGATATTAGCAAGGGAAAGAATCAAGCCACTTGTATCAATAATCGTGATGAACCAGCAAGAAAAACACAGGTTTTGGATTTGAATTCTGGCAATGCCATTTTATGAGTTATGTGACCTGAATCTAAATACTTACCCTCATCTGAGAGTGAGCTAATAATCATGACCTTGGGAGGGTGCTGTGGGTCCTATTTGCAAACCTCCATGCAGCTCCTGGAGGTACAGTATATGTGGAAGATTTGCTAGGGTATGGCTACTGACTGTCTCTGTGACCTGGTAGGAAAATGCCATAATGGTTAAAGGCAGCCTTTGAGGTGCTTGGAGCAAAAGCAGCCTGTTGGAGTAGCTCTTCAGTGGTGTACAGTAAGCTTCCCCTTTCCTCTCTCCTTCTCAGCCCCTTCCCCGTGTGTGGCCAGCAGGCTGGATGGTTCTGCAAACAGCTTGTGGATCAATTCATTGACCACAAACTGGTGAGACAATGGGACCACCGAGGGGCCTTGCTTTGCCCACTAGAGCGAAGGTCAGCATCAGATGCATTAAGAAATGGAAGCAATTTTCTTCCCACTGGAGGCTTCTATTAGGCATGATTGCCTGCATTTAGACAGACCCTAAACTCTCCAAGGCTGAATTAGGGCAGGATCACAAACAAAACCTGGACAGGAACCTGGCTCTGGAGCTGGTACTTGAATCAGCTCCAGTGTAATCACCTCTTTGAACTGTGCCTAAGGTTCTTCTTACACAGTGCCACATCCACCACACTGCCATGTCCACTGGGTGACTGGCAGTTGTGGTTTCTGCTTCATACAGGTGACAGTCATACCCTCTCCTCTATGCCCGCTGCCATTGCCCTACCAAGGCCTTCTGGTCTTCTTCATCGAGCCTCTTTACTCCCAAGTTGGAGGCTGTTCACCCTAAAACACAAACTTGAGCAGCATGTAGCCCTGGTCTCCTGGGGCTTACAGTCCAAACAGAGAAGAAAAAGAGAGTCATCTGCACTTGGGAAAATTTAATGACTATAAAGAAGCAATTGAAAACCAGAATTGGATCAGATTAATGGTACAGATAACATCCTGAGGGAAGGGGTTTTGTGAGCTTTGGAGCAATGGAAATGCTTCCTGATGGGGCTGGTTGTATGATGTGATTAATCCTGACAGATTTGGAGGAAGAGCAATGTGGACACAATGATCCTACAGTCCTTTCAAAGAGCTTCTGGAAATTCACCTCCTAGACCCCAGAGGTTTACCTTCCACTCCTCTCTCCCTCCCACCTGCTCTTCTACAAGTTACACTGTTGTGTGCAACCATCATGCTGTACCTCTGTACTCCTCATGCCGTACTCTGTACTCCTCAGCTTACCATGAGGAGCTGATAAACCCATCATAAATGGAAACCACCAATGGTGGAAAATGCATAGATTACAGGTGGTTCCCCCTCATGATCACAGAACTGACTGGATGCTGGGCTCCCTGCCTCTGTCACTCCTGTCCAACACCATAGGATAGCATCATAAATCATAGCCTTAGTCTGGGAAATGGTCAAAATTTAAAATTCAAAGTATAATTTATACTGAATGCAAATCACTTTCATATCCTCTAAAAGTTGAAAAATTGTAAGTTGAAACTTTCTAATTCAGAGGTGGTCTGTAATCATCTATTGATGTGTTTTGTTTCTGTTTCTGAGTTCCTTGAAGAACAAGATTTTTGCATGACTCATTATTTATACTTCATGCCTAGCACTTAGTGGGTGTTCCGTGTTGACCTGAAGTTGCATGAACTAATTGTGTGTGCTGGGTGGGGCAGGTGGAGAGGATGGGCATCCATCTGTGAGCTGTGGCATCCATCCAGTTCCACAGGGATCCTGTGTGTTTTCTATGCACTGACCCATGCCCATTTCTTGGTAGCCTTGCTTTAGGTCTCTAATTGATGATTGTTTGCTCTTGAAAGAAATGCTCTTTCTCCCTTCCCAGGCCGAACCTCTGTATGAACTGGTAACAGCCACAGATTTTGCCTACTCCAGCACAGTGAGACAGAACATGAAGCGGGCCCTGGAGGACTTTGAGAGAGAAATCAGCTCCTGCCACTGTGCTCCATGCCAAGGCAATGGAGTCCCTGTCCTGAAAGGTACCACTTCCAGGCCTCTGGGGTCCCTAGTGGAAGCCATTCTCTGGAGAAGGCTGACTCTGGGCTTAGTGTTTGCCCACCTTTATTTCCCAAGGAGTGAGAATATAGGCAGGTAGGAGATACTCCTCTTGTTGTTCCAGCCTCAAGGGATAGAGAGGAGGGACAACAGCATTTAGCTGGAGCCAGCGTAGGCTGAAGCAAGTGTTCTGCCACAAGGGTCAGTTAGACTCAGGGAATATCTCCTAGACTGAGAAGAGGCTCCAGGGTGAGCTGGTGAAACACATTGCACATGTCCTGACTAATATGAAGTGAGAAGATTTGAAGGTGGCAGTAAGGATAAAACCTGATTGTTAACTTTGGGGGTCATCTCTTGAGTTACTGGAATGGACAGGGCAAACCAAGAGGGTAGAGTCTGGGATGTCATGCTCCCTCTATGATGGGCTAACAGGACTCAAGTTAGTGACTGAGTAAGCCAACTAGAGACAGGGCACAGCTCACGTGGATGGAGGGAGCCCAGCAGAAGGATCACAAGAGATTCTTGAGAGTACTTGAGAGTGCCTGGGAGTGGCACTGAGGTACATGTGTGTAGTTTCTTGGATGGATCTGAGCAAAGCAGACATAGGGAGGGATAAGGCCTAGAGGTTCTTCCATCAGCACAAGGATCTTCCCTGAGTCTATAGGAAGTGGAATCGGTGCATCAACACATTTTGGTCCAGGGGGCCAAAATCCCTCTTGCCTTGCAAGAAATGTAGACCTAGAAGCCAGTGTCCACCTGAGGTTGTAGAGTGGTGGTGAAGGAAAATAGGGGGAAAAAAACTGGAAACCTCACAGAATATGTCCTGTGAAGGACAATTCTGTAAAGTGGTTCCTACCCTATGATCTGATGAGAGAAGCTTTCAGGGGTCAGATTACAAATTAGCATAAGGAATCACTTGCAAAGGCTCAGAGCCAGCAATGGTAGGATGAGTCCTGTAAGAGTATGAGTTTCTGGTCCCTAGCGGTATTCAAGTGGAGGTTGAAACATTATTTGTGGTGAATGGCTTGCCTCAGTGACTAATGTAGATTCTGACACTGAAAGCTTATAAATGTGGGTTGAACATCAGCTAAGAAGTAATTTTCCCCAACAGTCCACATAATTCACCATGATGGTAATAAACACCTTTCACAAACAAAGAACTCTCTAGAAAAGAGCAAGTGTTCTTGGCATTGAACCTGCTTATTGCAAACTGCCCAACTCCCTGTTTGCCCTGTGCTAACCCAATGGAAAGGCCAAGATGGGGATGACTGAGCTCCAGGATCTTCACCTCAAGTGTTTCACACCCTCTCCACCTGGTCTACTCAGGATCACGCTGTGACTGCATTTGCCCTGTTGGCTTCCAAGGCCCAGCCTGTGAGGTCACCTCTCGGAAAGGTAAGGAGTCTTCAAGAGTTGGTTGGAAAAGGGAACTCTGGGGGAGTCCAGAGAATAATTCATAAAAATGAGAGCAAGGTAGAGTGTGGAATTGGAGGCTAGATACTGTGGAACCTGATGTCCATCCTGGCTCCTTTTGTATTTCATTATTTTTACAACTGAGAATGCTTCATGTTACTGACTGCCAGTGCATGATATTTTTGAGTCCTTTTTGGATTATTCTGGAGTGCTTATACTTTTTCTACTTAGTAAACTCCTATTCAGCTCTCAAAATCCAGAACAGACCTCCCTTCTCTGTAAAAAATGTCTCTAATCTCCCAGTAGAATTAGTTTATTCCTCTGCTGGGCACTCACAGGACTTTGAAGTGTATCCATCATCACTCATTGTGTCGTGTATATCTGTCTCCCCTCCCTCTGTCAGTAGGACTCATGTCCCGTTTACTTCTACATCTCCATGGCCCCACACACTTGTTGGTCAGTGATATATATTGAATTGATAAATGAAAGACTAAGCTTCCCTTTTGTCTCTCAAATCTTGGCCAGTTTATCAGCGTTCTCAGCCTCTCACTCTTCTCTCATTTTCAGTACTTCATGTGACCTTAAAAATGAACGTAGTAGTGCTGGGTGCATACCTGTAATCCCAGCACCGTCGAAGCTGAGGCAGGAGGATTTTGAGTTACAGGCCAGCCTAGGCTACATAGTGAGACCCTGTCACAAAACAAAAAACAAAGACAAAAACAGACATGGCATATCCAGTTCAAAGAACACTTACTGGGCACTTTATTACGTAGCAGGCACTTTGCTGAGTGTTTGGACTCAGCTTGGGCTCAAATTTTTCTTCATCATTTAATAACTATGACCTGGAGCAAAGTGCTTGTCCTCCTTGTATCTTAATTTCTGCAACTTTGAGATGGAGATGATCCTATTACCTTCTCATACATTTGGCTCGAGTTCATAATAAGGCATATAAAGAACTTAGAATGATGCCTGATACATTGGAAAAGCAGAATATAGATGGATTCCTTTGTTTTAGGGTGCATTGTTACTTTGTATTTTAGATATGATAAATCCTTTCATCTTTGCAACAATCTCATGAAGCTGATTCTCTTGATATCCTCACTTTATATGAAGAAACAGATTCAATGGGTCACTGGTCATTACTGTAAGTGTAGGAACCCAGGCTCAAGCCACTGGGACTGTCCGCACAGCTTTTGATCTAAAAGCTGGCCTGTGCTGTTTTCTCAGTGAAATGGTCAAGGCTCTTTGCTTTCTCTCCTCTCACACTTCAACCAAGCCCCAAACAGAAATTTGCCCAGCAAGTGCAATACACAACCACAACCACAGAACTTTTTTTTTTTTTTTTATGATTTCATGGGTTTTTTTTTTCCTTTTTTTATTGTTGTGCTGGGGAGGGGTACATTGTGGCATTTACAAAAGTTCTTACAATATATTAAATATATCATACTTGAATTCACCCTTCCATCATCCTTTATCCCCACTACCCCATTCCTGGAATTGTTTCAACAGGCCTCATTTCTCCATTTACATACATGTCTGCACAGCATTTGCACCATATTCTCTCTCTCACACTCTTTCTTCACATCCTCCCCCCTCCCACTGGTACCAACTCCCAGACAGGACCTGTTCTGCCCTCCTGTTCTCTGATTTTATTTTAAAAAGTGACAATTTTGTTTGTTTAAGATAGCTGTATGGGGAGTTTTCTTGTGACATTTCCACGTATATATGTATTATAACCCAAATTGGTTCATCACCTGTTTTTCTCCTTTCTACCTTTGTCCCTTTCTGGTGATTTTAACAAGTTCAAAAATTCTGTATTCATTCTTGTATAGGAAGTGCATCAACCATATTCACCTTCTTAACTTCCTTCTTTTACCCTCCCTCTCTCATATATGACCTCCCATTAGCATGACCTGTTTTTCATAATACTGCTTGTATTTGTATTAGGTCTATATTCCACATATGAGAGAAAATATGTGACCTTTGGCCTTCTGAACCTGACCAACTTCACTTAAGATGATGATCTCCATTTCCATCCATTTACTTGTGAATGACAAAATTTCATTTTTCTTTGTGGCTGAGTAACAGTCCATTGTGTATAAATACCACATTTTCTTAATCCATTCATCAGTAGAGGGGCATCTTGGCTGTTTCCATAACTTGGCTATTGTGAATGGTGCCACAATAAACATGGGTATGCAGGTGCCTTTATTGTAACCTGACTTATTCCATTCCTTAACCACAGGATGTTTTTTGGTTGGAGGAGACCGAGGAAGTCACTCACCCCAACTCTTTCATTTTACAAATATGGAGACTCAGAAATAGACAGTAATTTACCCAGAATTCTACAGCAAGTTAGTAGCAATGCTAGACACATGATACATAATGATGGAATAATTGGTTATTCACCAAGTCCCATTAAGAGTCAAAAAATCTTGAACTGGAAGACAAGTGTCAAGGAGAAGCAAGCATTAGTGGTCATCATCACCTCATTTAATTCATATCATGCTCTCCATAGATAACACAGCTCTCCTTTTATAGGTTGGGAAAATGTGACCATTTAGCATCCTACACCTGGGAAGTATCTAAGCTGGAAACCATCCATCCACCCATCTAACACATGTTTTCCAAGGGTCACCTGTGTTTCAGCGTAGGCCCTGAGATCCACTGAAAGCAAATCAGATATAGTTCATGCCACCACAGAGAGATATTATAAAAGAGATCAGTGCTTGAATTGTCCCACAAATCCATTTAAAGTTGCAGTTGTAACAATGGCTAAAAATGTTCTGATTGCTTAAAATGTGGGGAACTGATTGAGTCAGGGATCAGGGAAGGTTTCCTTATGGAAATATACTTTTACTGAGATCTGAAGATCTAATAGGATTGACAGGTGATAGGGAGGGAAGAGGGTTCTAGGCAAGGACAATAGCATGTGCAAATGCCCTGTGGTAGGAGGGAACACAGCAAATACAATGTCAGAAAGACTTTCTTTTGAAAAGGAGAGATTCAGAATTCCAAAGCCTGGCTTATTCACCCCACCCTATTTGATAGGGAACCAGAATATAATAGGAGCCAATTAATGCTTGTTGTCCTTCTTTCTTATAGATGTCCCCATTGATGGGAAGTGGAATTGCTGGTCCAACTGGTCTTCGTGCTCTGGAGGACACAAAACAAGACAAAGGCAGTGCAGAAATCCACCTCCTCAAAACGGGGGCAGCCCCTGCCCAGGCCCTGCTTCAGAAGTGCTTAACTGTTAGGGGAAGGGGCACTGCTAGCAAGTGATCCAGATGTATGCTATAGACAGTGTGGTCTCGGACATCATAGATTCAGGCCAGCTCACCCCACACCAGCTCCCATTGGGCTTCCCAAGAAGACAGTGCATTCAGGCCGTTAAAGTAGAGATGTTCATAAAATGCACGTCAACTTGAATAAACAGTGAGTTAAACAAAAGTCCTAAGTTCCTTATGAGATAAAACATCTCCATAAACCTCAGTTTTTCCACTTGACAATTTTATTGCAGCATATTTCCTACCGGTCAAGAACTGTGTTGGGAGTTGGTCACCAGGTAGTCTTACCAACTGGCAGTGACTGGCACACAGTAGGTGTCCAATCAGGAGTCAGTGAGTGGACACCAAGTCATTCTTCCCTTGACAAGCACGTCATCTTGTTCAGTCATGATGTCAGCAGTGTTTATGGAATGATTGCTGTATGCCAGCCCCTGATTGGGTATCTGAATTCATCTCTTCCCTATGACAACAGTTAAGGCAGATGCTATTATAAGCCCTGTTAAACAGTTGGGGAAACTGACTTAGTCCAATTCAGCAAGTTGTCCAAGGTTACACAGTTAGGAAGTAGCAGAGCTGGGCAGGAAATTTGGGTGGTGGTGTTTTACACTCCTAACTATGCTGCTGTCAGTGAATGAGAATAAAATGCAGCAGCAAATAGTGTGTGTGGATGTACATGTGTGTGTGTGTGTGTTTGTGCATGTGTTATTGACAACCCCTACCCCCACCCTGTGCTGCCTTCTTAGGAAGGTGGGTTTTGGACCCTCTGCTCCTCTGGTGCTAAGCATAGGAAGGGTGTAGTTGTCCAAACTGGAATTGTGGGGAAGAAACAAATAGTGATTAGTGTAGGAACATGGATGGGAGCCCGTGAAAGGTCCTGAGCTGGAACCACAGCCTAGGTTAACTGATGACTGCATGAGAGAAAGTTGAGAAAAAGAATGACATGTGGCATGATGGTTGAAAGAGAACCACATCAAGAAGCTGTGGGATAACATGCAGTTGTCCCTCCCTGGTCCCCAGGGATGTCTGTATAATCTACTTTACTCATTGAGGCCTTTAAGCAAAGACTATTTGGAAGAGAGTGCGGCTTGAAGAAGAGAAGGTGACAGTTACCTTCTCCAGGTTACCAAACCCCAAAATATTTTTATTTTTTAGATCAAATGAGTATTTAAATCTATTTCTCTCATTTTGTCTATTCTATTAAAACATCCCTTGAGATTTCCTTTGCTCTCAAGTTACTTCCTATCTGAGTGAAGAACTTCAGGTGAATTTGTTGAACTTTATAAAACTAATGGGGAGAAAGCACAGTGAGTTAAAGGTGAATTGGTTCATCAACCATTTGTCTGCTGCTAGGTTTGATGCTAGAATTCAAGACCTAGATATTCCATGATATCAAACTTAGGGCCCTGTCATCCATCAGTCTGGCCCAGCCATCTTCCTGGAATAGGGTCAACAGAGGGACACTGGGAAGGAGCTGCCTTTTATTGCCCAGGGGCAGTGGCAGCCTGTGTGGTGATTCTGTTTGCCTTCCTGTCCCCATGTCCCCTGCAGGGGAACTGACGGGTCTGGACCCTTGTTTGGCGTAATATTATTGCTTTGCTGTCTGCTGGTTTTTCAACAGGCTAATCCAATAATGTTTTATCTCTTTCATTATACAGAGGCTGTATAATTTTCTTGAGTTATAATCTATCTTCTTTTAAGATTCCCCAGAGACAGGGAAGAGCAGTTCTGTCTTTCATTGACGGGAAACTCCCATGAAGCCGACACTTGCACATCAAAGCGAGTGCCGCCAAATTAAATTCTGAATCTCAATCACAGCCACTGCTTCTAATGGGAAATTTGAGTTGATTATGGAGATGACAGCCCAGGTTCACATTTATTGCATTTAGCAGAAATTGTTTATCCTATTAAATATGGTCTTGAAGGAGAGACAATTGAATTGTGGAGCACCGGTGAATACCCGGGTGACGCCCAGGCGCTGCTGAACTGTGTAATAATTATATTCTTATTTGTGGGCTGAACTTCCCCACGTGGCTCTTTTTGCAAACAAATGCATTTAGGAGGAGGCTGAAACATACTGTAAGAATTAAACAAAATAAATTCAAAGCCTGCTTTTGGAGAGACTTGGCAACTCTAGCTCACCTGAGTGTGCCTGTGAAGAGCTGCAGAATCTGTGAACAGAGGCCAGGCAATGTGGTTTGGCAGCTGTCCTGGAACTATGAACACAGCATAAGATACCTGGACTTGGGTACTTTTGCCTCCAAGAGAATAATTTTTTGAGATACTGTGAGTTTCTACACACACTTAATGTCAACATGGAAGGCTTCCCATGTGACCTTGGGCTAGTACTATATCTTCTGTGGGAATAGTAACTCTTATAATTAGTTTAACAATAGCAATAATTATAATAATTGCCAATTATAAAGTGATTTGCAGTTTATGAAGTCTTTTAACCTGTATTATCTCATTTAATTTTTATCTGAACTAGATGGAGTAGTTATTTGTACAATTATCAGATGACAAATAGACAAAGTTTCAAACAGAAACTGGATTCTTACTAAGAATGAGATGATTATGGAAACCAAGAGGGGGTGCAGACGCCAAGAGAAAAAACTCCTCTGTTGTAGCAGAGGGAACAGCCATCTCTGTTTTACAAAAGAAGGCTCTGGCTTGCACGCTATCACTTTTGGATTGGACAGAATGTACATGGTGCAGAAAGCCTGTTAGGGACAGTGAACTTGTCCCCTAGGTGCCTGCAGCACTTTGATGGAGAAATACTCTGACTGAAGGATCTTGAAACAGCAGCTCCACACTCACCCTCCTTCCTATTGCAGCTTGTCTCTTCTTCTAAGACAGCCTTCCCTCTTTGAGGTAGGATAGGCCATAGTCTAAGCATGGTTCTCAGTGTGGTGCTACTGAAGGTGGTAAAAATCTTTAAGTGGTGGAGCGTAGTGGAAGGTTTTAGGTCATTGGGGGTGGGCCCTCAACGAAGATTGTGAGATGTTGATCTCTTGCTCTTGTTTTTCACTTTCTGGCTGCCATGAGGTAAGCAACTTTCCTATACCATGTGCTCTCAACCATGATGTGCTGCCTTACTACAGACCCAAGAGCAATGGAACCAACTAACCATGACCAAAACCTCTAAAACTGGAAGCCAAAATAAAACTTTCTTCTTTTTAAATTTGTCTAAAGTATTTTGTTATATACTACAGATGTTTATTCTCTCTGTTCTCATCTCATGCTATATTTCTCTCACCATAACAGTCATTGCAGTATAAGACTGATCATGAATTCTGAAACCTAGATGTATTTTGTTTTACAGAAGATATCCTTATTGACATCATGTCTATTCACCAATGTTTCTAGACATTTTATCGTAAATTACTCCTTTAGTATTTCTTTTGCTTTTCCTTTTCCTCCTCAAATATCACATCCATGAAGTCAGGGTCAGTGCACTAATATAGCCCAATGACAGACTACACTGCCTGGCACCAGGAGGTCATCAATAAATAATTGTTGAGTGACTTAATGAACTAATGAAAAGGAGTGAGTGGGGGCCAAGGGAAGAACTTTCCCATCCCAATGAGAAACTTTAGAGAATTGGTGGCACAAGATGGTAGAATTGTGGGACTTGGGGCACAGAAACCCAGAGACAGTGGCAACCTGCACAGCAGTGAAGGGGAAGCACCTGTGACACACTGTGTGGGCAGCCCTGCAAAATACAAGTGAAATAAAAGAGGAAGAAATGTAGGAAAGGACCAACAGTGCATGTTTGGAGGTTGTATTGGTTCCCTTTGGGAACAGCTAGGAATCCCCAAGGAATTTTACAAAGTAAGGGAGCGGAAAACTCTGTAATCATGGGCAGGGTGAATCTAAGAAACATATTCAGAGACCAAAGAGAAAACCAAGGCTCAAGAAGTTGTGAAAGGACCTCCCTGTACGTGGCAGAAGCAGGAAAGAGCCTGCTTCTTGCCTTCCAACATTCTGCATCAACCTCAGTTTCCTCACCTCTGGGAGACCTTTACACCTGCAATGCCCACCTAAAACCTAGCAGTACACTGGAATGGTACATGGGAGGTCTTTGAGATGCTCTGCTGATTGACTGTTGTCATGGAATCAGTTCGTTCTATACATTGTTTTTGACCTTGAGTTACTTTTCTTCCATGTCAGGCCAGTTTCTAAGCCTGAGGCATTCAGATGCTCCAGGGCCTGTTTTTGGTTGCAGCAGGCGTAATGTAACAACTTCCTAGGCAAAACTAAACACAGCAAGTGCGTAGACATGTGCTCTGAAGTCAAGTGCTGGCATATGAAGCCTCGTTCTGTGACTTACTGCTTTGTGGCCTTAAGCAAGTTATGTCTCTATCTGTGCCTCTATTTCCTCACTGCTAACAAATGGTGACAGTGTCAGCCTTCTGGGGTATGGTGAGCATCATGTGGGTTCCTACCCTTAGGAGAGACCTTTAGGAGATTCCTTCATTAGCTATGTCATACCAGCATCATTTCCAGGGATTCTCAAAACATCAACAAGAACCCTAGGTTGGTGGAATTTTGTCAATTCATTGAAACTGGCTTTAAAGACATTTCGGTGCAAAACCCACTACAATATATGAGAACAAAAAGAAGCAAGATAGTTCAGCTCCTAGGAGATGTCTCAATAAAGGACATGGAGGGCTTTCTATCCCGAGCTCTGGGTTATTAAGGGAGAATGTAACAGCATAATAACTAATATTTGCAGAGGGCATTAGCACTTACAAAGAACCTTCCCATACCTAATCCAGCTTAATCCTCTCAATGCCTGCAAAAGGAAGGATTTATTACCTGCCTTTGACAGGTGATGAGATAGAGCCTCGGAGAGACTGAGTACTTTGCCCAAGACCACACAGCTGGAAAGCCAACAAGCTCAGTCCTGGAGCTGCTGCAGCTGCTGTCCTTCATCTCCCACTGGAAACAGAAGCAGATCCAGCTGCATCGCGGCCTACTTGCTCACCTGCATAGAAGACATGAGAAAGGCTCCTGGTCTGTCATCCCTGCTGTGAACAAACCCAGAGGGTTTTGGAGGTCCTTGCAGCAGA